ATATTTAAGTATTTTATTGAATTATTTATTTTTAAAGTGAATGATTCATGAGATACGAGCCTGGTGACAGACAACATTTAGCGGAGTCATAATAATAGGGTCTAAACTCTTTATCCTTTAAGGTAACAGAACCCTAAAAATTAGTAATTAATCAAGATCGATCTAGAAACACTCACAACCAACCTCAGTACTGTATAAGTTTAGTTACTCGTACCTTCACCTAAAGAGATAGCTGCGCGTGCGCGTGAAAACCGACCGTCGTAACGCCTATGCAATAAGTTCGAGATCAGAATTAAGTATAGTTTAGTTTAAAGTCTTAATTGAGGTTTGACTAGTCAAACCCCGATTTCATTAAATTGAGTTTCGACTTTTGCCTGACCAAATTAGTTACTCCTAGGTTTGACTAACATTATTTAGTCAAAGGCCGAAATGTTTGGGCTTTGACTAAGACTTCTAGTCAGACCTGAGGATTGACTAGTCAAACCTAGGAGTGCCGGAACTTCGAGGTTTGACTATAACATATATACTGAATGTCATAATCTCACAATTTATCGTTTACAATGAGGTCTATCATGTGGGCTCATCAGTCTGTAGGCGAGGTCCTATCACTCGTTACTGGTGAGCGCTGTTGGTCGTTGTTTGTTTCAACAAAATCAACGTCCACTGCACTGGACAAAGTATTACCACAACCACCGCTCCTGTGCTGTCCGCATCCAGGGTTGCCTGTTATCTTCACTGGATCGTCGGTCTACCAAGTTCCTCTCGGCCTAACTATACTACGTGGTAGGCATTCGAGAACTTTTGTTCCCAATTTAATACACTATAAGTTCTAAATACGGTAGCATATTAATGAGGACTGTGTCCAATTGGATGTTGAAGTAGTAATAGTTGAAGATCTATTTATAAAATAACTCAATCTCTACTATCACTGCAAATCAAGCGCTGGTATCACTGGGTTAGTAAGGCAGAACATTTTGAGCTTTTTCTCAGTAAACCTAGAAAAACAGAATTATATTTTTAAGCAGCCTAAAAATACATGGCTTACAAAAGTTAAATAAGTTGTATTTTAGGATGTTTCTCTTGTTTTTATTTAGGCAAGTAAACGGACAACTCTTGGAATAATTTCGCACAAAAATAACTTGTGCTGAAACATTCTTGTTTATCATCCGCCCACTGATGAAACAAAACAGAATTATTATGAATATCTAACGATTTTCGAGTATTTTTTGACTGAATTTCAGTATTCTTATGTAAAGATGTTTTCCCGAAACCTAATATTATACAAGTTTGAATTTTACATGACCTGTTTATGATTTATGTTTATGTCTATATATTTTACTAGAATTACTATTAAATATCCAATATTTCCAATAAGTTGAATAGGGAAAATTTTGAAGTTCATTGAATTCTTCAGTCCTAATATAATATCGGTGTTTTTGTAAATACGTTATGCCAATTCATTCCCTATCTGGACTTATTATTCGAATACCCACTTCCCAGCAATGGCCTCCCACGCTCAAATCGGAAACGTTCTCTTATAAATAAGTTATTCTCAGCCTTGTACAAATGACGTTTATAAGATACTAGCGGCCGCCCGCGACTTCGTTTATAAGATAAATAAGTTTTTCCATCAAAAGAGCTTTGCACCGACTTTTTGTTACATCAAAGAAAATCCGACGTTATGTACTATGGAACTGTTATTCTTATTCTATTTATAACATTTATACCCAGGAGGTACTATAACGGCAGTAGGTATTTCACAATGTTAAGTACTTTTTCATTTTTAACCGACTACAAAAAGGAGGAGGTTTTGGATTCGGTTGGTAATGTTTTTCTGTGTGTTAATTGTCTTACCAAAGTTATCGTCCGTAATTAGAACATTCATCATCATCATCAACAGCCCTTTACAGTCCACTGCTGGACTATGAGCCTCCTCCGCTAAAGTGGAGGGTTTTGCCATAATCCCCACGCTTATTGGCAGGCGGGTTGGATACCGCAGTTTAAAAGATTGATGTTTTTCAGAGAGCGCTGCTGCCCTTTCTCTGTTTGATGTGTGTGTAGGCCTTAAGTCGCCTCTTACAATACATTGGTTAATTAGAACATTAACCAAATATAAGTCAGACACTTCTATCTTATGAAAACGGAAATGTTTTAGAGACTTATAACAGATCATATGACCAGCTAACTAAGCCTGACCACCTAACTTAGTTGTTACTACTCGTATCGAGTATCAAGCTTGTCTCTTGCCCTAATGTCAAATTGCTATGGACTTGGAAACTTATCAGAAAGAAATGATAACAAAGACATTGGATCACAACCTACATATTTAAGGCGAATTTGTGTTCTATGTTTTATTATTTAGGTATTATCAATACCTAGAATAAATACAGCTAGGGACTGGAATTCGCTGCCTGCTGCTGTCTTTCCCGAAGACTATAATCCGGACCTTTTCAAGGCGAAAGTGAATAGGCACTTACAGGGCAGATATGTACCATTCTAGATTGTATCCCACTTAACACCAGGTGCGATTGTGGTCAAATACGTGCCTTGTTATGCATAAAAAAACTAAACCTATTTACTTATTTATTTGGTGAACACTTATTGCGGTTTCAATATGGCTTCAACCATACGTAAAAAATCTCGGACTCTTCATTGACAGCACTCTGAGTTGGTCCCAGCATGTCAGGGAAGTCAGTAGGAGGGTGATCGGCTCAATGCGGGCACTCTACCGCTTTAAAAATTTCCTCCCTTCCAGCACTAAGACCTTACTTGCTCAGTCTCTGATCCTGCCTATCCTCGACTATGGTGATGTATGCTGTACGGACATCTCACAGGAACTTTTAAACAAGCTGGACCGCCTTTTGAACAACTGCATCAGATTTATCTTCGGTCTCCGCAAGTTTGATCACATCTCACCTTTTCGCTCGCAGCTTGGTTGGCTTCCCATCAGACAGCGTAGATATCTTCGTTCACTTTGTATGCTTCATTCAATTCTTTTCAATCCCGACTCTCCATCTTATTTAAAAGATAAATTTCAGTACCTCCACTCCACTCACAATAGAAATATTCGCTCTAGTCAGTCTCTTCAGCTTGCCACCCCTCATCATAGCACTGGCTTCATGTCCAACTCTTTCTTAGTCTCCGCTGTACGGCTCTGGAACGGCCTTCCGGCCAAATTACGCAAACCTTCTTCCAAATTTACTTTCAAAAAGGCTCTGCGCAAACATTTCAAGGAATGACCTTTTTTTCTCAATTTTCTCGCTATCTCAGACATGAGTGATGTGTACATCTATAATATTATTATGTTTATGTATTTATGTGTATGTCTATTATATTTATTTGTATTATGTTATTTATTTTATGTAATCTTATGTAAGTAGGTTTATTATCAAAAATGTTAATTTTTTGCACCGCCTTACTCTTTCTGCATGACCCGTGGTTGACTGGCAGAGAATGCCATCCGGCATTAAGTCCGCCACAGTGCATTTGTTACTTTGTGTGCTGAAGTATAAATAAATAAATAAAATAAATAAAAGTTCAAGCTAACAACTTCACCTCTTCAAATAATATAGGATTTTTACGTCAATAAATCATCCTGTATTTCAGCGGCCAAGTTCCCATCTGTCAGTGTTCGAATGCCAAGTTATTCCAGTAATATTCCCGTCACGCGAGTATCGTTTGCGTAAGCGTTGGAGCGGAAAGAAAAGCCTTCAGCAAGACTTTCTTGAATCAGCTCGATATTGTCAAACTAATCCTTACTTTAGTATTATAAATGGGAAAGTAATTCTGTCTGTTAGGGTTTCACTCCTAAAGAACTGAATCGATATTGATGAAGATATAGAGATAGTTTGAGCCCCGGAAAAGGATTTAGGACAGTTTTGTAGGGCCGCGCGCGATAGTTTTTCTGTGACAGACAAAATTTCACGCGGGCGAAGCCACGGGCAAAAGCTAGTATAAAGTATTTGTGATTTGTGACATATCGATATCACTGATTGATATCACATGCTATTGGGACTATTTGACTATTTGGTACATACTATTTCCATTTGGATGATTAAATCAGATATTTAGTTTTTAATCATAAAGGGCTTCCCTGTTTCTATTATCAGAACTTTGATGATTTTATCAAGGGAATTAATTAAAATCCATTTAAATCAAAATTGTTAACCCAATAATAGATATTGATGACTCGCTCTCCAATCGAGTGTGATTACCATTTGGAGTTAACAATCAATTAGGTTTGTCACTTCAGCTGTAACATTCCAAGGCTCGTATAATAATGCTAAATACGCTCATATTTCGAAGGCTTAGGAGTAGACTAACAACATGTTACATTTGGTGTTACTCCAGCCAGACTTGTGAAGTGACAACTGTCTGTGACACTTCGCGTGATCACGCTACGGACAAATTGAGTTATCAATCTTACTTTGCTAATTCGTAATAACATGGGTCGTACTTGTACATCATCCTGCAGTAGAGGATTAATTAAAAGTAGAGGATTAAGGCAAATAATGGATAAGTTCAAAATAATTAGAATTTTATTAACGATACTATTGATTTAACAATCAACATAAAATGATGCCCTGTTTTTTATTTCCATTATGTTCTAGTCAGCCGTCAATAAAAAAGTAACCTGACAATTTCATTCATTTTGATTTGTCCTCATGTTGTCTGCTAGGCTGCAGATATCAAATACATATGTAAAGGTTACTAGCAGGTCCAGATTACCTATACATTGTTTAATTATAAATCTATTTCATTATCGTCGTGGTGTCCCTTGCGACACCTCGGCATGATGCTGAGTGGATACCGTTTCGGTGACACGCACGTTACCTACTCTATCTAGTTTTACTTTTGTTTTCATATTTTTGATGCTGTTTTGTGTCGCTGAATAAAATATTTCATTTTCATTTATTGTAATTGGTGTAGTAAACCGTTATAATTAATTAAAGTAAAAATAAATAAATTAATAGTTGCTAATTTGATGTGTTTGTCCACAGGTACTCAGTACAGGAGAGACATGCGGCTGACCATCCCAGGCGGCGAGGAACTGCGCGGGCCTCAGATGCGCCCGCTGCTATGGACGTGCGCCATGGCTCTCTACCTGCTGATGGGTACGTGTCAGAGGTTCTTGGACATGCCCACCATGTGCTACCAGCAGTACACTAGAGACATGCGGCTGACCATCCCAGGCTGCTATGGACGTGCGCCATGGCTCTCTACCTGCTGATGGGTACGTGTCAGAGGTTCTTGGACAAGCCCACCATGTGCTACCAGCAGTACACTAGACATGCGGCTGACCATCCCAGGCGGCGAGGAGATGCGCCCGCTGCTGTNCATGTGCTACCAGCAGTACACTAGACATGCGGCTGACCATCCCAGGCGGCGAGGAGATGCGCCCGCTGCTGTGGACGTGCGCCATGGCTCTCTACCTGCTGATGGGTACGTGTTAGAGGTTTTTGGACAAGCCCACCATGTGCTACCAGCAGTACACTAGAGACATGTGACTGACTACGGCGCATAGCGTGCACGCAACGCGTGAGTTTTAACCCAGGGCAGTGAGAACACAGAGAACATTTATGAACTCAACGTGACTTTAAAACATTATCACTGCAACAGTATATTTTTTTTTTATCTAAGCTGACTTATTTTATCTATTTTAATAATATCATGCCGTCGTTTTTTGACTCGCCTGTGTTAAAGTGAAAAGTAAATAGGTAGATACTGCAATTATTATATTGTTTGTCTTCTTTTGGAAACTCCAAGAATACTTACCAAGAGCTCTTAATTATTTTTTGTCCCTGTTATAAATCGCAATCGAAGAATTTATATTTGTCGTCAAGGTGGCCCACGAATGCTTGCTTTCGAGGTTATTTTTGTTCGATTTTTTCGCGGCTTATTTTGTTAATTAGAACTGAAATTACAATATGAACAGTAGGTTGATTATTATTTTGTTTTTTCTTGAAAATTCCTTTAATCCAGCGTCTACTAAATTACTTTAATTAAGCTCATTACCAGCCGGAGGTACTTACCTTAGTTAAGGTACCCACAGACTATTAAATATAAGCAAATAAATGAGAAATAACAGGCTTACTTTTTTACGGCATAATTTCTTACCTTTTAATGACGTAACATTTTCTACGCTCATTTTAAATAAAAAATAAGTAAAACAGAGTAAAAGTAACTTTATTTAAAATAAGCTTAATTAATCCTTCAGCTAAGGTCGTTATCTCTTAAGAAATCAATTGAATTGTCTGTCTACCAATTAAGTAAATCTCTAAAGTATAGCGGCATCTAATAGTAAATATATTGGACTAGTGAAAGGGTTTCGCAAAGTCAATCTATTTGAGAACTCGACGAGCTTTACGTTTAATTTGATAGAGGTCATTTTCGTAATAGGCCCTTAAATCAGATTATTAAGAAATTTTCAAGCTAAGGTTTGTAATTTGAACGTGACATTATTATACAGCCTGTTAAAGTCATTGTTAAACTTCTACCCTTGTGGATTTTTGTCACTCGCAGACTTGTGGCAAGTTTCGTGAACAAAGTCGTACGGTTTTCCAAATAAACTTCAGCTCATTCAATATGGAGGCGTTATCTCCTAGTCAACAAACAGGCGTAGCAGGATAATTGATTGGCAATGGCTAGGTGAAATTTTATTTTATTTTATTTTATTTTATTTTATTTGTTTAACAATGTTTCAACAGCATTAAATTGTACATAAATGTGCAGGAAGATACAACTTGAACATAAGCCAAATGTAAATAATAAATATAAATCAATGTAAATAAATAAATGTGAATAAATGTAAATCAAAATACAAAGATAATGATAATTATTGTATTGTATTGTGTAAAGTTCACGGGTTGCTTACATTATAATATTATGCATGCTGTGGTTATCGTTTGTGTGGGAGCAGTTAGCTTAGTTATTTATTTTACAGTAGACCTTTGGCTTAATTGTTTATTTTTTTAATTGTGTATAATACTGTATCTCATGTTGATAGCCCAATAAAATAAATAAATAAATAATAGGTATCATCCCAACTAATATTATAAATGCGAAAGTCTGAACTCTGTCTGTCTGTCTGTCTGTCTGTCTGTTACGCTTTCCCGCTTAAACCTCGCAACCGATTTTGATTAAATTTGGCATAGAGATAGTTTGAGTCCCGGGAAAGAACATAGGATAGTTTTTATCCCGGTTTTTGAAACAGGGACGCGCGCGATAAAGTTTTTCTGTGACAGACAAAATTCCACGCGGGCGAAGCCGCGGGCGGAAAGCTAGTCTAACTATAAAACGAGATTGAGATTTTATAAAATAAAAATGTGATTTGTCGACAGTCGATAGAACTCTGTAACAAAATAATTCGAGTAAACGTAACATTTTGGAATCTTACTCTAGATTTTATAAATTAGTTAATTGAGTTTAGTTAATTGAGGGAACATTAATTATTCTACATTCACTAAGTATTTCGTAGAATTCTATGAAAAAGGTACTTAATAAGCACGACTGAGACGCTACGAAGGTTCTACTAAAGTTATTAGTAGACGTGCAGAAATTGTTCGAGGAATCTTTAAGCCTGGACTACACGTACTATGTTTGCATTAAACTTAACTACAATCTGTATATTAAGTACCTGCTTACGAGTATGTTTGTATTAGAACTAATTGGAACTTCTGAGCTAGAAATTTCAATTTCTGAGAAGAGATTTACAATCTTCTAAGATGATACCATTAATAATAATAATAATAATAAATACATTATCCTGCTTTCGCCTCCGAGATTTATTTTACCATGTAGTACCCCTGTACGACAACCCAATCCGCACACAATATTCAGCGTAGTAGTAGTAAAAAACAAAAGAGCGGGCAACCCCACCCCTACCACGCTGTGGGCTCGGTGTCCGAGCGGTCTCATTCCTTTGTGCGCACGCGCAACGACCGCACGCAGTATAAGAAAAATGCTTAAGTGACGTCACCAGGACGTTTTTACCGACAAAANATTCAACTTTATTGCACACCAAACAAATAACATAACAGAAGAAAAGGAACACACAAGGTACAATTAGGCGGTCTTATCGCTATGAAGCGATCTCTTCCAGACAACCTATGGTGAGGACAGTTACTTGAAACAAATATGAAGGGGAAGGCGGTGTCGACACCATTGTGTGTAGGTGGCAGTTTATGTAGAGCCCAATGTACATATTTAGGTACAGATGACAGCCCAAATAAAATGAAGCAGCTTTATTTAGTTTTAATAAGTAGGTACGATTTTCCACTAACAACAGTATAATCAGAGCATGTTGTTTCGTTTTCTTTTATTTTATAAACGTGTAAGAATCACATTGTACAATACAACTGTTAAGTTGACATAGAATATTAGGCTATGGCCTCTTTCTGCGAAACGTCGGCTAGTAACACTTCTACGACACATTTTTTATTCATTAAATCATATTAAAAAATCTTGNCATTAAAAATTCCTGTTGGGTAAATGTTCAAACTAATTCAGCTATAATCAAGTTCGGGATCTGAAAATGTAATATTAATTTAATTAAAAGACTAACGATGCTAAATTTGTAAATCCCAGGACCTGCTTGACTTGTGTAGACATGAATAACTAATTTCATTCACGTAGGTCAGCGGTTCCCAAACTTATTTAGCTCACTTTGAGAATAAATTATTTTTAGCGCCCCCCATTTTTGTAGTCAAGAGTCGAGCTCAGTCGGTGTCTAAGAGTCCTCCTAGTAGATGACGCCTCCCAAGCCTCTACACAACGTCCCGATTTTTTTTTTCTGGGTCCCTTACCGCCCCCCTTTAAGCCTGCAGCGCCCACAAGGGGGTGTTATCGCCCACTTTGGGAAAGACTGACGTAGGTGTAATTAATTTGAGCTTCCAAATATATCTCCGTCTAATATGGAATTAGAACTCAAGTATGTTTACCTATTGATAGTAATCTACTAATGCCTAATAGGCTAATAGAGTCGTATAATACCCATAAGCTACGAGTTTATGACGCATGTACCTACACAAACATTAATTAGTCTACTACAAGGGAAAGAATGGACAGTAAATATTGTAAGAGTCGCGTGGTTAGCGACACTTAATAATCTTATAGTTAAACTGTTTTTGTAATAAATGTTTTTGTTTGTAAACATCTACTTGTATACCTGATGAAAAAAATGTGTGATTAATCCCTACTATCAATAAAATACCTCATACCGACGACCTCATAAAGGTAGCAAGAAGGCGCTGGATGCAGGCCGCTACCAACCGGGCGATGTGGAAATCAATGGAGGAGACCTATGTTGAGCAGTGGACGTCCTGTGGCTGAAATGATGACCAATAAAATCGTGTTTGTTTTTAAGAGCGCTGATGGGGCTGCCCCGTTTCTGTAGCGCATCGGGGATGTTTCTATGCAACTGAAGCGCGAGTAGATTGTTTCTATGCAACAATGCGCAAACGCTGCACATCCCTGGTGCGCAGGGTGGAGGTCAGCTCCAACAGCGTGCTGGGCATGTTTGCGTCGAGGTTTGACTGTCGGTACCTGAATCATTGCTCAATGATTCATGTGCTGGCAGACCGCTGATGCTTATTTTCAATTTTAAATCAAACCAATAATAATTGTATGTACCTAGATACATACAATTATTATTGGTATTATTATTAGTAAGAGTACTAACCTATAATTTTTAAGTACCTGCACCTGTAACGCCCCTGGCGACGGTAATCACTTACCATCAGGTGATCCGTCTGCTCGTTTGCCTCCTGTCACATAAAAAAAGTACTTATACAGGGTGAAAAAGTAATCGCAGGTGGCAATTTTCTAAAAATGCACAAAAACTTAAAAATCTTGAAAACGGTGATATTTTTACTGGGGTCAAAATTGGACGTTAGGGAGACCTTGGCGAGGCCTATCGATGGTTACAGGGTTATCCATTGTTTTTGGGACACCCTGTATATTTACTAACACTATGATCTGTATGTGGTCGAAATAAATAAATGTATTATATTTTGCAGGCGCTACGATGTTCCAGTATATCGAAGCACCACTGGAGCGCAAATTGGAAGAGCACCTCCATTACCTGAAGGTCGCCTTCCTCAAGGAACACCCTTGTCTCTCAAGTAAGTACTTAGCGCATAATAACCCTCTACAGGGCACAATATGTTTAAAATTATTCAATTCTTTATAATGTAGGTACGAAGAAGGCCCTTTTCAGAGCACTTGAAGACCACACGGGAAAAACAAAGAATGTCAAAAAACTACAATTAAGAGAAAAACAGTTTTTAAATGTAGTTTGAAAGTCTATATTTCTTTCATTTTAGACTCTTTTATGTGAGATATTGAAACAACTTATTACTGTGTTAACATATGCTTTGCCTGTACTTCTAAAACTCGATTTGTTTAAATAAGTTTTAAGTTATGGTCCATAATATAACCGTTTCTTGCCATGGACAAACAAACACAAATTGAACTATTACAGTTGACCACGACGATTTTACCCAATTCTGATTTTTTAAATAGAATGTTTCCCTAAAAAGCTAACAAATGGCATTAAAAAGTAAGTTTCACAAAAAAGGTAACATTCATTGTTTTTCCCTTGTGGTCTTCACTTATACTTATCCTAAATATAGCTTCCTAACTACCACTTCGGGACAACGCGGCAACGTATCGACTGGTGCTGAGAAGGAATGGCGGAATAACGCTCGTATTTACAAACATTACTATGAGGTCTCACAGCGCGCGTGGACGCACAGAGTCACACACGAACCAATCACAGAGCTCTGTACCTCTAGTAGGAAAAACTTTCGAGTTCGTTTCGTTGCGTATTCAAAGTGTCATCGAAAAATTTTGTATGAAAAATTAAACAGCGCCCCCTATATTATAGCCGCCCTAGGGGGCGCTGTTTAATTTTTCATACAAAATTTTTCGATGACACTTTGAATACGCAACGAAACGAACTCGAAAGTTTTTCCTACTAGAGGTACTGTTCAACACGGCTTGACGTTTCGGCTGCGATGCTGCAGCCGTGGTCACAAGCAGACTGGATGGCGATTCGCGGCGTCGTCCGTTCGGGCGGGCTTGAAGATTTTCAACTACCCTCATATTGTCATTCACTTAAGCAAGCATTTGTTTGTGAATACGGGCGCGCGTCAGTAAATAAAAGGTTGAAATGATGGTAGTGGTATGCTATATCGCTGTTTAATGGCACGTCTTATAAAAATACGAAAATATGATCTTTGTATGGTCAAACAAAATGTTTTAAAGCTACTGTTTTTTAGGAAAGGTAATCTATGTCCTTCTTCAAGGTCCAATCTACATATTATATATTTGATATTCCAAATATTTAGTTTATTTAGGTATTAATGTCTATTCTTGAATGAACAAGCGCCTACATTTTAAAGCTCAGACTTAGGGCTGGCCCTGACATTAAAAGTTCTTTACTCTCCTCGTTTTACATGAAATATTTAACATTGCGTGATAAGTACGTAATTGTTGCTTTGTTTATTTTATGAGGCGCCCTCTGTCACGTCACGTTATCGTCTCGAGCACTTTTATATTGTTTCGTATCATCTGATAGGTATCTATAAATACGTTATTTTGGTTCTTACTAAGGTTCGCCTTAAACTTTTACCTGCGGAATACATTTCTACATTTCTTCATTCAATTCAGTTTCAGCTTCTGTTCTTCATTTAACAAAAGATTTCAAATACAAATAAAAAAATCAATATTGTGAATCATAGGTGAAATGGTGACATTTTACAGTAGGTAGGTAGTACCACTATGTTCCGCTCAAAGAGCATACAATTTGTCAGACAACAACAAGATTCTTCTTATCGTGTCGAAAACAAACCTACACAGTGTCAGCCCAGAACTCCGCTACAAGAGTGGCGTTGTTGGCAGCATTCATTAAATAAAACATTTGAATTTGAATCCTCCAAAAGATTGAAACATTACAAATTATTATTTCTCTCCTCAGATGTTATCTCTATCTCTATATAAGAATTCGAGAAGTAAATAGGATCCAAAACAAGCATTTATTGTTATTATTAATTATTTACTTAAACTGCACTTATCGAATATGACATTATACATTATAATACGTTAGGCGCGTCTTAATAATCTCATAATATTTAATTTACATTTCATAATAAACTCGATGATAAGGTACTTATGTTGGTATATCCGTCAATCAGTAATTTTCCTCTCTGATAGAATAAATTGCGATTACACGAGTAAGTACCTAGGGTGACGGAACCAATCATNTGGGTCTAGACAAAGTGCAAATTATAATCGCAAACCAGTCGAAAAGTGGTCGAAAAGCCCCTTTTTTGTATGGAGTTTTGACGGATTCGATTTTCGATTCGATCAAAAAGTGCGTTTTGTCTAGGGGGGCAGGGCACAATATGTTGAAAATTATACAAATTATTTATATGTAGGTATGAAGGCCCTCTCTGTGCACTTATACTCATCCTAAATATAACGTCCTATTACCACATCGGGATAACATTCGGCTGGAGAAGGAATGGCGGAAGAAACAGTAAATAAATGGTTTAGGTACCATCCTAGACTGCATCCCACTTGTCACTGGGTGCGATTGTGGTCAATACTCAATACCTGCCTTGATATGTCTAAAAAAATATGGTAATTAGTGGTGGTATGCTATATCTCATGCACGCTGTTTAAAGGCACGGTTTAAAAACTACGAAATAGATTTTTTAAGGTTTTAAAGCTATTGTTTATTTCAAGATTATTTTTAAGGTAACCAATGTCCTTCTTTAATGTCCAACCTACATATTTATATTCCAAAATGTTTAGTTTATTTATAAATATGTCCATTCTTGAATGAACAAGCGCCTACATTTTAAAGCTCAGACTTAGTGCTGGCCCTGACATTAAAAGTTCTTTACTCTCCTCGTTTTACATGAAATATTTAACATTGCGTGATAAGTACGTAATTGTTGCTTTGTTTATTTTATGAGGCGCCCTCTGTCACGTCACGTTATCGTCTCGAGCACTTTTATATAGTTTCGTATCATCTGATAGGTATCTATAAATACTTTTACCTGCGGAATACATTTCTACATTTCTTCATTCAATTCAGTTTCAGCTTCTGTTCTTCATTTAACAAAAGATTTCAAATACAAATAAAAAAATCAATATTGTGAATCATAGGTGAAATGGTGACATTTTACAGTAGGTAGTACCACTATGTTCCGCTCAAAGAGCATACAATTTGTCAGACAACAACAAGATTCTTCTTATCGTGTCGAAAACAAACCTACACAGTGTCAGCCCGGAACTTCGCTACAAGAGTGGCGTTGTTGGCAGCATTCATTAAATAAAACATTTGAATTTGAATCCTCCAAAAGATTGAAACATTACAAATTATTATTCCTCTCCTCAGATATTCTCTATCTCTATGTAAGAATTCGAGAAGTAAATAGAATCCAAAACAAGCATTTATTGATATTATTATTTATTTAAACTGCACTTATCGAATACGACATTATACATTATACCTAGGCGCGTCTTAATAATCTCATAATATTTAATTTACATTTCATAATAAACTCGATGATAAGGTACCTACTTATGTTGGTATAGGTATCTATCAATCAGTAATTTTCCTCTCTGATAGAATAAAATGTGATTACACGAGTAAGTACCTACTACGTAAATCTGTGTTATTAAGTTTTGTATTATTAGTGACGTCAGATATGAAATATGATCTATCCGTATGCATGACCTGCATTGCTTACGTAAGCCACTGAATAAGCAAATTGCATCAGCTCCAAGGAAAATGCAATTTCTTATCAAAAGCGATAGTAAAATGTATCAACACATGTCAAATACATTGAACCATTCTAGTCTAGTAGCACTTTATCATATTATTATGTAAATTGTACTACATACTTGTACCCTTTTCACAGCAGCTAAAAACCAAATACTACCAAAAATTGACTGAACAATATTTTTCGCGACTTAGGGACTATACATTCAACAGAGAATGGCCAGTAGCGCTCTCTGATACACATTAATCTTTTAAACTGCGATCTCCAACCCGCCTGCCAAGCGTGGAGATTATGGAAAAATCCTCCACTAAAGTGAAGGAGGCTCATAGTCCATCAGTGGACTGTAAAGGGCTGTTGATGATGAATGTTACTATCCAATTCAACCTATTTTACTTCTTTACAAGCACATAATATTTACTTTCTAGATTGTACAATATAGATTATTTCTAAACTATTAAAGATATCGAAAAACTGGTTACTGATCCTGAAAGTGCTTGACAAGCTCTTGCCAAATGTTGGTCTCGAAGCGCTGGTAGGGTAAAAAGATTAGGTATGAGACATGTAGAGGCTCCTTAAGAGCAAAATGACGATTTGTAAGAACTATTTATTAGTCTGAACAAGTAAAGAAATTTTGACTTTGACTTTGAAACGGTACCAATAATAGGTTACTAAATAAACTAGATCTTTTCGAAAATTCAATGTTTCCAGCTTCCTATAGTTTAGAAATAATTGAGTGAGATCACTTACCGTTTCCACTCTGTATACGGGACTATTCCCACCTCTCGTTCCCACCACTGCAACTCCTGTGTAGCCAGGATCTACAGCTTGAACGCCATAGAAACCCAACCAATGAAGGTCAAGTTTGTCCCGGGGAAAGTTAAACTGTCATTGGACCCGCAACGAAATTAATCAGAAGAACATATAGGCCAGTAGAATTAAACACAAAAATTGATTAAATCGGAAATAATTCCTACAAAAGATTTTTTTGCTTTAATGGCTTCATTGGTTGCCCATTAAGACTCTCCTAAGTTTTCGACTTCGACGGAGTTGTGCTTATGTGGTGGGGGTCCCCGAAAGGGGCGTTTTTTCGGTTTTCCGGTTATACCGCGTAAAGGACTTACCCTATCGAAAAGTGATCTTCATGACGGTTAAAGAGCACTTAATCCTGCATTGAATAAGACCAAATTCATATGTTTTGGACAAACCGTTCTCGCGCTAAAGTTCGGCAAAGTAGAAAATATACGTATAATTAATGACCCTATCCACGTCCAATGGCTTGTTACTCACATGCTTCCAAGCCTTGTAAAGGGTCGCCTTAACCAGTGTAACCCTAACAAGGCTCACGAGTTTGATTCGCTTATCCTTGTTCGTCCCAGCCGTTCCTTAACTGCGGTTGCTGCACCTCTTCCTGGCACTCTCCTGAACGACTCTGTGTTACCTAATGTGGCTGCCCCTCTTCCTTATTATTTATGTATGTATATTTTATGCAGTATAGGNGTTGCGACAGTTGCTTAATAAATTCGATCAACGAAAAAAATGTCCATAATTGGTGCCATGTCCATTACTGGTGCCGTCACCCTACTACGTAAATCTGTGTTATTTAGTTATGTATTAGTGACGTCTGCTATGAATATGATCTATCCGTATGCATGACCTGCATTGCTTACGTAAGCCACTGAATAAGCAAATTGCATCAGCTCCAAGGAAAATGCAATTTCTTATCAAAAGCGATAGTAAAATATATCAACACATGTCAAATACATTGAACCACTCTAGTCTAGTAGCACTTTATCATAATTATGTAAATTGTACTACATTTACTTGTACCTCTTTCATAGAGATAAAAACCGAATACTACTTACCAAAAATTGAATGAACAATATTTTTCGCGACTTAGGGACTAAATTCAACAGAGAATGGGCAGCAGCGCTCTTTGACTTACTTAACTTAAGGTCCTATCCTATGTCCCCTAGATGGGGCAGAGGGCTTCCACAACAGTCCTCCATCGCGTTCGGTCTTGAGCTTCGCGCTTGATCTCGCTCCAGGTCTTGCCGATTTTCTTCGCCTCGTCTGCTACAGTGCGCCGCCAAGTTTGCTTGGGGGACCACGCAGCACTCTTTGATAAACATTATTCTTTTAAACTGCGATCTCCAACCCGCCTGCCAAGCGTGGAGATTGTGGCAAAATACTCCACTAAAGTGAGGAGGCTTATAGTCCAGCAGTGGGCTGTAAAGGGCTGTTGATGATGAATGTTACTATTAATATTTACTTTCTAGACTATACAATTTAGATTATTTCTAAACTATAAGTACAAGATATCGAAAAACTAGTTACTGATCCTGAAAGTGCTTCAAACGGTACCAATAATAAGTTACTATATAAACTAGATCTTTCCGAAAATTCAATATTTCCAGCTTCCTATAGTTTAGAAATAATCGAGTGAGATCACTTATCGTTTCCACTCTGTATACGGGACTATTCCCACCTCTCGTTCCCACCACTGCAACTCCTGTGTAGCCAGGATCTACAGCTTGAACGCCATAGAAACCCAACCAATGAAGGTCAAGTTTGTCCCGGGGAAAGTTAAACTGTCATTGGACCCGCAACGAAATTAACCAGAAGATAGGAGGAGTTCGAAATTAAGGTTCGACTTCCCTCCATTGCAAAGGTGACAAACAAAGGTTCCACTTTGTATAGCTACCGTACGCAGTAAATAATACATAGAATGATATTTCAACGGTATTTACCTGATTAAAAGTAGTTCTTTCAGTCTAGACACGACTCACTTTACTAGATTCATGTTTCTTTCATCCTTTGAATCCAACACCCAAAGGCAATCTAAATTGGTTTTGCCAAGGTAGGTAGTGACAGTATTTTGTCTATACGAGTAATATTGTGGTAGACATTATAAACTAAGAGCTATACCAAAAAATCTGATTTTTATGCGTAATATTTGGGCCAGACAGTTTTGACAGTTCCAACTCCTTGCCAGACAGTTTTTTTAGGAAAGCTGCTAAAGCCACGATGACCCAAACTTCATGATTCACCAGCATTCTATCCTATATTGAGAACATAAGCTGACAAACTTTCAGCTTTTATAAAATGACGAAGGTCTGGCGCTCACTAGCTCTTAGTCTATTAATATTGGTAGCCATCCATACGAGTATGTATCGACAGCAAACCAGACTAAGATATGAGTACATTTTT